GTCTTGTAAATGGAATTTTTAAAGCATTCTGAATGTAAAAATAAAGAAAAAAGTGTGCAAGACAATAAGAAACACGACCTGCCAAAAAAAAGTGAAGTTTTGTTGAAATCGGTTGAAAAATGTAGGAAATCCGATCCAATATATAAACGAACACACACACACACACAACCTGGGTTTTATAATAAGTATAACTCGATATGAGTTGTCCTCCTTTCATTCTCGCGATAGCGATGTCTCTTAATCGTGTTTTCAAATTGATTTCATGCAAAAACAATTGTGTTTTTCCAATTTTTGGCACTGTCAGAACCACCGCAAGGTAATTTTACGTAGTCCTGTGAAGTTTTGTTGAAATCGGTTGAAAAATGTAGGAAATCCGATCCAATATATAAACGAACAGACACACACACAACCTGGGTTTTATAATAAGTATGATTTATATATATATATATATATATATATATATATATATATATATATATATATATATATAGATAGATAGATAGATAAAGGCATAACGTCCATACAAATGCCCACATCTGAAGTTGGGGATGAACTCTTCTAAATAGCGAACAAGCCCAAATCCACCATCTGTTTTTTGTGCACCCTTCTTACTTACCGGGGTGGGACAGTACAGGTAGAAAGTAGAAAGGTGGAAGGGAGTGAGAGTTTCGGCGGGTGGCTGGAAAAGGGTGGGAAGGAGAAAAATAAAAGGGTAGTGTTTTTTCAATTTTATCGACATAAGTAGTACGATAGAGAAGTTACAAATGGGAAAAATAAGGGTGTTGAATGTTGAAAAAGAAAATGTGGCTAGCAGAGGTAAGAAAAATGGAAACAGAACCAGAGTGGGTGAAATAGAAACGTTGGGGGTGGGGGACAAAAAGTAAAAATAAAGTGCGTGTGTGCGTGACACTCGTGTTTATATCTGTTTCGGACTCTATATATATATATATATATATCTATATATATATATATATATATATATATATATATATATATAATTTGAGTGATCCGCTCGTAAGAATATAAGTAAATAAAATGAAAATAAAGTAATAGAAATATAAGTAAAAAAAAGTTCTGGGTAATAATTTTTGTTTACATTATTCGGATTGTTATCCTCATCTTCATTGCAATATTCATAATGTTTCGGCCATTATACGCTCCGGTCTTCATCAGGTGATAGGAATTTCAAACCGAACCCTATATTTCGTTCTCAAGGACACAGAACAGAAGAGAGAGAAGAAGAGAATAGAGAGAAGAGAGAGAGAGAAAAGAAAGAGAGAAGAGAAAGAGAGGATAAAGTGAGAGGAGAGAAAGAGAGAGGAGAGAAGAGAGGGAGAGGAGAGAGGGAGAGGAGAGGAGAGAAAGAGAGAGAGGAGAGAAAGAGAGAGAGGAGGAGAGAAAGAGAGAGAGAGGAGAGAAAGAGAGAGAGAGGAGAGAAGAGAAGAGAAGAGAGAAGAGAAGAGAAGAGAGAGAGAGAACAGAGAGAAGAGAAGGGAAAGAGAGAGAGAGAACAGAGAGAAGAGAAGAGAAAGAGAGAGAGAGAAGAGAAGAGAAAGAGAGAGAGAGAGAGAATAGAAGAGAGAGTGAGAAGAGCAGAGGAGGGGAGAGGAGAGAGAGAGAAGAGAGAAACCAATAAAAGAGAAAAGAAAAAGAGAGAGTGAATATGTAAAAGCAAAACGAATGAATGTTCATATCCACCATTGTTTTCATCTTTGTTGTTATCAAAACATACCGGCCTTTACACTCTCCGGTCTTCATCAGTTGCTTGCCGATCAGAGTTTCGAACCGAACCCTTTATTCAATCAACGACACTAGATTCTTCTCATTCCGTGTTGTTCTTATCAAGTACGCCTCATTTATTGCTCATCCGGTTTCTAAAACTATACTACTCGGCCCAGGGATTGAACTCGCATTTATTCTGTCACCAAGTTAACGACCCAACGCTTTTATTAGCCAGGTTTCCATGGTTAAGTTCGGAATTCCCTGAAGAAAGAGCGACCGTGATAAGATGAGATTAACATCTGTCTATATATATGAGATGAGGTATTATGATTATTTACATTATTCGGACTGGTATTCTCATCTTCATTGCCATATTCACAACGTTTCGGCCGTTGTACGCTCCGGCCTTCTTCAGGTGATTGGAATTCCTAACCCTTTATTTCTAGTTCTACGTGCCATGCCTCTTCTGGGTGTCTCATTTATTTTCTTTTAACTTAACTCTCCAAATTTTTTGATTCACCACCGCTGTAGCCTGGAAACTGAACTCACAACTCTTTGAGCCTAGACACTGGATCTAACCAACGCCTTCATCCAGGAAAAAGTAAGGTGTAATCTTTCATACATAAGGTATTTTTTATTCGGTTCCGGATTTCGTTAATATTGGCAAACAAGTAATCCAAACGTGGATTATTCTTGCGAGAAAGTAAGAGATTCTCTGCGCCTACCCTCTCGGGTGGGTACTTATAGATCTTCCTGTCATCGGTTGTCCCACACGTGTACATTCTAAGCGCAGCTGGTTTGGCCACCTTTTTACAGACATTAGCATCCAGTCGAATCTGCACCTGTTGGCTAGGTGGCTATCTTTCAAGTCAACCCGCTGATGCGTCTGACTTCTCTGATGATCTGGTGTCACGCTAAATTGAAAGTCTAATTACGTATATAATCTGGAAGGAATACAGTACATATTAGGGTCAAAGTAAATCGATTCTTCTTAGAACAAATTGGGATGGAATTCGATCCCGACAATCTGTTATCTCCTAGTATCTATCACATATTACATAATAGCAAAGGTCTCCGGAAAGCAATAAAAACTTCAGAATATCAACGAGCACATATTAATATATAAAATAATAATTTATTCAGAAATAATAATATTTTACTCATCTATGTTGCCATATTTATCTCAACGTTTCGGCCGTTGTACACTCCGGCCTTCTTCAGGTGGTAGGAATGTCGAACAGAACACTTTATTTCGCTCGCTGGAGTAGACTGTTCTAGTTCCACGTGCCATGTCTAATGGATGTCAGTTATCAGTTATCTTTATCTCTTGTTAATTCCCCTCTCCAAATTCTCCACTGCCTTAACAGGTATTGAACTTTTAAGGACACATGGCACAGTGGATAAAGGCGTTGGTTAGATCCAGTGACAGGAGCCAAAGAGATTTGAGTCCTTCCGGATGTTTTAGTATCATTTATCTCCCTTTAATTCAACTCTCCAAGTTTTCGTTCACCTCTGCTGTGACCAGGTATTGAACGTAGTGTCAGGACACATAGCCCGGGGGATAAAAGACCGAACAATATAAATAATTACAATATCTCATCTCAGAAATATAAACAGTTATAAATTTATTTTAGGATATTACACCGAAAACATGTCAAAATCGCTACACAATTGCAGTAGTCTTTCGATGCGTATCAATGCGTCTCATCAGGCGATTATAAATTAATGGCGAGTGAACTATTTATTTAGGATTAAACGCAAAATATAATATCTTTTTTACGAAAAAAGAAAAAAAAGTGGGAGCTATAAGGTTTGTAGGCTTTATTCTGGTCAAACAATTGACATGTTTTTGGGGTAATATCCTAAAATAAATAATATTGCTATACTTTGTATTGAGCCCCTTTTTAAATTAAATGTTATGAACGTTGAATTGTACTCTAGTTGTTCTCATCTTACCTGGGTGTATGCGTGCGTATATATATATATATATATATATATATATATATATATATATATATATATATATATAGTGTAACCCGGATATAAGAGATTTTCTCTGGTCCCAAATTAGAGCCTGTGTTAATGTATACATATAGACCAAACCCGGATATAAGACACTTAGTCTCCGGTCCCGACAACTCTCTTATATCCGGGTTACACTGTATATATCTCCTGTGAATTTTACCAGGATTGTTCGGTTAATGCCAATTTAATTATGAAAACATTGATTTGCATAATAAATTCTGACATTGCGTCTGTATGAGCGGTAGATGATGGAGGGAGAAAAGCAAGCAGGTTTGCAGACAAAACGAAAACGAGGCTCCCCGTGTAAATCCAAAGTTTTGGGGGTGGGTGGGTTGAGGTAAGGAAGTCTTACAAGGAAGGCTCGTAAATAAACCTCATTAAACAAAACCTGTTTCATAAATACAGAAAAAAAAGTTTTTTTCTCTCTCTTTTAAACGTTAAGTGCTTTACCTTAGGTCAACTAGTTTACCGTTTTTTTTGGGATGGTTTGTGGGGGGGTAGTGGAAAACTCTTGGACAGGAAGGAAAGGGTGGTGAGATATAGGGGTAGCAAGTGGAGATTCGGTGCGCCAACAGAGCTAAGGCCAAATAGGATGAGAAAGTACAAGTTAAAGAATTTTCTGGTATCATAATCTCTGTATTAATCAGCTCGGTTCTAGCTATCACTCTGTCAATAAACTAATATCTACGCATCCTGTCTATCTATCCGTCTGGCTTGTTATTTTTCTATCTAACAGCCAGATAAAATACCGAGGCTATCTGCCTCGACAACTTTCTACCTATCAGTCCCACTGTTTCGAGATTTTCTATTTATTGGCATCTTCCTATTAGTTCGTCTGCTTCGACATCATTCTATCTATCAGTCCATCTGCCTCGGCATCTTCCTATCTATCAGTCCATCTGCCTCGGCATCTTCCTATCAGTTCGTCTGCTTCGACATCTTTCTATCTATCAATCCATCTGCCTCGCATCTTCCTATCAGTTCGTCTGCTTTGACATCATTCTATCTATAAATCCATCTGCCTCGGCATCTTCCTATCAGTCCGCTTCGCCGTTATCTTCCTACCAGTTCGTCTGTTTCGGTATCTTTCTATCAATCTGTCTGTCTCGGCATCTTTCTAATAGAAAGATGCCAGTGCAGACATACTATCTATAAGTCTGTCTGCCTCATAATCTCTCTAAAAATCTGTCTGTCGGTCATCTCTGTATCGATCAATCGGCCTGTCTGCCTCAACTTTCTATTTTTCAATGTATATGTCTCGCATCATTTTAATAGCTCGTCAGTTTCATCTTTCTATCAACCCGTCTGCCTCGTTATTTTTTTATCTATCAATCTGCCTCGTCATTTTTCTACCGGTCCGTCTGTTTTGTTATCATCCTATTAGTCCTTCTGCCTCGTCATCTTTTTCTTCATTAGTTGCGCGCCTCCTCATCTTTCTATCTGTCAAATTGTCTGCCTTGTTACTTTCTACTTCGGAATCTTTCTATGTAGGCATAAAACTGTGTCGTTATCTCTTTATCTATCAGTCCGCCTGCCTCTTAATCTCGCCATCTACCTGTCCCGCCATCTTTCTATCTATCAATCCGTCAGCTTTCTATCAGTCCGTTGAACTAGCCATCTTTCTATCTACTTGTCCGTCTGCCTCGGCATCTTTATATCTATCTGTCCGTCTGCAACGGCTTCTTTGCCTGCCTCATAATCTCGCCCATCTACATGTCCGTCTCCCCAGTCAACTTTCTTTCTAATCATCCGTTTGTTTCGATCATTATCCTATCTATCCATTTTCAGGCCTCAGTTTCATCCATTTATCTTACATCATTCAGTTTTTCTTTCACTCTTTAGATGCGCGTGTGACATACTCTGTAGAAACGGCACGAATAATTGAATCGGCGTCCTTTATTTTCCGTCGAGTTCTTTGCAATATTATTAGGAAAAACATGAATCCAGCTATTGGTAAAGTAATAAGGCACACCTGAGCCTTTTAGCATTGATAGGGTAGCCAATCTAAAGTAAAGATATGTCTAAATTGAAAAACAGAAAAGGCAATGGAGAAATCACTCCACAAATTTCCTCGGGAATAGTCATAGATATTCGCAGATATTAAAGTATGGGATGACATGAAGAGCCTTAATCGCTAATATGCTGAAGAGTCACGGTTTAATATATATATATATATATATTATATATATATCATGAATCATTCATACAAAAAACAAATATTTATTTATGTGTTTGCGATGATGTATTCTCGCCATTTAAAATCATTAACCTCTATATTTGTTTTTGTATGAATGATTCATGAATTTATAAGTTATAATTGCACCTTTTAATTGAAATATATATATATATATATATATATATATATATATATATATATTTTTAAAAATAGGTATCACTCCATGCAATGTAGTAAAGCCACTAAGACACAAGGCGTTACTGGATATGGAAGAATTAGAAAACAGAAACATTAATAATGAGCGGGAACAAAAGAAGAATAATCAGGAGGACAGTAGATAGCGTTTGACATTGCATTTAAAATTTTGCAGATTAAAGTTGGCTGGAAAGCATGAAGCCCGAAAGGAGTTCCACAAGCGAGAAGTGCGAGAAAAGAATCTGTTAGTATAGAACTTACGGCTACATCTAGCCAACTCAACTGTAAATTGATCATATGTTCACATCTAGTACTGCGCTTAAATTCAAAAAATCTAGGTACTATAGCGAAGAGCTCATCCGAACAATTACCATGAAAGTATTTATAAAAAAAGGCATAGAGAGGCAATCTTACGACGGTGGAAAAATGACTGAAGCCGAGCCGCCATATCAGGACCAATAATATTGCTGATTCTTTGGATTTTATCAAGGAGCTCAAGGGGCACCGGACCATATGTGGCAGCAATATTCTAAGCATGGATGAATGGTAGACTTTTATATATTTAAGTGAACCAACTTTCTTAGCAGTTGACCTAGCAATGGATTCAATATAGTCTTTTCACTTCATGTCACGTTAGCCCAAGAAGGCACAATATTCTAAACATGGACGAATGGTAGACTTATAGATATGTAAGATAGATTCCGGAGAGAAAAATTGTCTCCTATGACACAGTGAACCAACTTTCTTAGCAGCTGACCTAGCAATGGATTTCATATAGTTTTTTCACTTCATGTCACCGGAGAACGTTAGCCCGAGAAGGCACAATATTCTAAGCATGGATGAATGGTAGACTTATAGATATGTAAGATAGATTCTAGAGAGAAAAATTGTTTCGCACGACATAGTGAACCAACTTTCTTAGCAGCTGACCTAGCAATGGATTCAATACATAATATATAATGAAATATAAAAATCTTGTTACTGACCTTCTTTTCACAGGGTACTGACTCCCTCAGATATACTGGCCCAGTTTTACCAATTCCATTATGGCAATCTTGGATGTTTTCCTCAATTTTCGCATCGATGTCTTTGATAGTGAACACACAAACGGCCGTTTCGCGCATTGGTATATTCATGTGGGGTTTTCCTTTGGCGTAAGTCACATATAGTTTACCGCTTTTGGTAAATAGATAAGCGGCTTGAGCGAGATTATATTGCAGCCGCCCGTGGCATTCCAGAGGAACTTCTACATAAGATTCAAATCTTTTGTCAAGATGACACAGCCGGATGATCTTCGTAATGTAAGGTGAATTCGTGTCTTCGGATTTGTGTTGTGTCGTGATGAAATAAATAAAGTCTCCATGTGAAAAACCGTAGATCGGGTTCACAAAATGCTTGGTACGATATTTTGGTAGGACAGCAATTTTACTTCCGCCGGATGTATCACGGTACGTGAACTCTAGTGTTTCCAAATCTCGGCTGCTGATCGACGGCACGAGATCTCGGTAACGCTTGTTACCATGGTTGCTATAAGGTGATGCAACATAGATAGCGTCTCCGTCCAGGCCCGGAGCAGTGACAACAACGCTTGAACTGTTTTTGTGGTTAGAGACCACCGGTTTTGACAGTGCACCGTCCACTATTGTAATGTTGGATAATTTTCGAACGTGACATGCGCCATGGAACAGAGTCAAGCAGACGACAATTGACTTACGTTTGTAATCAATGACCAAACCCTGGTTATGACTATTGGTCATTACTTTTTTCTCCTGGCAAGGTATTAGCGGCGGTGGGCACATCGGATTATCGTCTGCGGGTCCAGTGTAGGCATTTTCCAGTAGAGTTAATTCAGGAGACAGTTTGAAGAGGTTGTTGGTAGCTCCGACGTAAAGATCACCTGTGTGCTTGTGAATGATCATACGTTCCAGGGGGTGTTCAAATGGGTCACGGAAGACCTTTTCAATGACCATACCATGAGAAATGGACCAAAGGCAAGTCCACGCAATCCACGCAGTAAACATTGTTGCCTTTTCGGGAAGGAACATCAAACAGGAGGGACCAGATCAGTCTCAACCTAGAGAAAAGAAACAAAATAAAGAATTTAATACAGTAGATATATTTTCTTGTAAGTTATTTATTAATAATGAAAAGTGAAAATGTGTTTATTACTATATTAAAAAGAGATTTGCTTAATCTACAGATGAGCACATAATCCGACAACGTTAATCCAATACACGTGAGACAAGGTAACAGTGGGAGCGCAGAAAATATCGGATGATAGAAATCACCCCTATAAAAAAATCAAATAAAAAAATCACCCTACGAAAATCACCCTATAAAAAAATCATCCTAATAAAATTACCTCTATAAAAAAATCATCCTTATACAAAATTTACCCCACCCCCTATAAAATCATCCCTATAAAAATGTACCCCTATAAAATATCTATTAAAATATAGTTTTGCCAGCTCTTTCCACATCTATAATGCTATGTTATCAAATTTTCTTTGTTTCTTTCTTTAGCGGCATATCAACACCTTTATGTGTCATTTAATGCCGAAATTTAATTTTCTTGAGAGCATTAGTATTTTCTTTTACAAAAATGTATTACTGGTAATATTTTTTACTATGAAAGCTATGGTATTTTTACTATAAAAATGTATTTTTATACTTTCATAGGGTTTTGACCCCAGTTTGAGGGTTAGCTATTTGCCCATAGTTGGGACCGTCCAGATCAGGGTGTCGCTGGGAACAGCGGCAATTAAATGTTGATTCTACGTGCCTAAAAACCTCCAATTTCCCGATCATGGGCCTTTCTGCCGGATGTAGTCTATCGTCATACCCAGGACCGAGGCATATAAGTGTCATACGTGCTAAAGGCTTGATCAATCATAAGTGTCATACGTGCTAAAGGCTTGAACAGTCATAAGTGTCATACGTGCTAAAGGCTTGAACAATCATATCTCTTCCGATTTGGGCACCTCGACGTGGTGTAATGGTTAACAAGCTTGTCTCTCAAGATCATTTACGACTGAATAGTGAATTCGTGCTTCACTAAGTGACCCATACTTGTACCGAATCTAAGTTACAGTTGGGCTCTTCGACGTGATGGAATGGTTAGAATTTTTAAAAAACTCAAAAAACTATAAGGTGAGCCTCTAAAAAAAAAAAAAAAAAAAAAATGCACGAGGATTCCCCAAAACTTATATATTCATCCTAAGAATACCTATAGGAGGATTCTAAAAACCCTATAGGTGGGTGAATCAGTTCTCTTTCGATTCAGGATTCAAGAGGCAGAAGGTTTTCTCGCAGTCGGTTGCCGTTTAGGTACTAATTTGGAATGTTATCTACAAGGAAAAATATCTACACCGTATAATTTTTATTTTTGTAATGATATCTATATAGTAAAAAATATTTAAAAAAAAACACACACATACACACATTTTCTCTATGTTATATATGTATATATGTAGGTGTGTAATTAAATTATTAAAAAAAATTCTATTAATAACATTGTAGAGATAAACAGCACGTACATCAGCTAAGAATCTAAAACAGATCAGAGGTGTAGACCATATACCAAAGTAGATCCATGACACGTAGATCGCATACCAAAGTAGATTCATGTCAAAGTATCACCACCGATTTTTTCTGCGGTAGACTGGCTGCCAACCAAGGCTATAGGATCCAGTCTGTCAACCCGGGACGAGAGATGGATTCATACCCTTTCTCCAAAGGCCGTGAGTGAATATAATGAACACGACTGGAATTCGAGCTCGGCTCCCTGAATTCAAATTCTGAGTCGATATCCATTAGACACTCAATGCACATCCGAATCGACAGCTACGAAGCACAAACTGTATGTGATTCTTAATCATGTCTCTGTGTGCGTGTGTATGACTTTATAATATTATTCGTATTCTCTATTGCAGGCAGTTTCTGGATAATCCCAGTGATTAGGAGAAAATAGAGGATGTAGGAAAAGAGTAGTAGTAGTAGTATGATGTGGGGGAGGGGGGTCTGCCTGTGCCTAGAATTAGACAGACTCAGGAAAAGCCAGTAGCGTCTTTGGAGAAGAAAAAAAAAAAAAAAAAAAAAAGAGCAACTCCTGCTTTATTTTCGAAGACGCAGCACTCCTTCAGTTCTGCCCCAAATTCTCTAAGAATCAACATCTTTTGGTTCCAACTCAACAGGGAAGCCAAACCGACTGGCGTTTTGCTTTATATATGCACTCAAATTTCCATCAAAGGACTTAGAAAGGGCGTTTTCTTTCTTTAGTAAAAGAAAAAAAAATACAGGATCATGGCTTCTTTTTGGTAAGGTTGAAGAACTTAGAACGGATTTAACTAAGTTTTTTTTTGTGATATGAAGTAA